TCTCTCTCACAAGGCGTTGTCAAGGCTCATGAGTCATGTAGAGATGTACTCAGCAGCTCAGTGCAGGCGTGGGAAGCGGAAGCGCGCAGCGCAGAGCGGCGACCTCCTCCTCTTACCAGCTCCTCTACTATGGACGCCCATGATGGCGAGGGCCCCGACGAGGAGGTGGCGAGATGGCGGTGCGAGATGGCAGCGGCTGCCATCACCGACACCGTTGCGACGAGCATAGCCGGAACGCATAGATTGCGCAAGAGGGCTGTGCGCAGGCCAGCGCGGTGGCGTCCACCAATGCCAACACTGGCAGCCTCAATTCGCAGACTGCCATGGACCAGGCACGCCGGGCAGCAGAGGCGTGTAGAAGTCAGAGACACGCCCGGCTCTCCGCCGCTAGCTGTCTTGTGAGGACCGAAGTCTCTCCCTCCTCCGTTCCAAGTCCTGCTCCAGCGCCGCACCCGTCGGCACCTTTGACGCCCTCTGTGCTGCACGAATGGCCTCATACCGCTCGATCGCGGCTTGCTTACTCGCTGCTCTCTCCTCGGCGCTTGAAGAGGGCTCGCTCTGTTGGCGGTTCTGAAGCCCGGAGATGTAGCCTGCCGAGCCTGCCAGAACGGTTAGCGCCCCAAGATTGAGCAAGTATCTGGCCGCCGAGCCCGCCATCACTCTCTCTCTCCTGTTCGCGCGCGAGCCGATCCGAAAGTCCGCAACGTCCCTTCACACGTGGCAAGGCTGCTGGGGCGCCCGCTCCATCAACTCGTACGTAGAGCTCCGCCCGGACAGCCTCGTCCCGCGCCCGAGATGCTATCGTCCTTCTCGCCGTCGGCCGAGGCGCACCGCCTGGTCAGCCACCACCGTCTCAACCTCACCATCATGCCCGTGGAGCACACGGCCTCCTCTCGTCGATTTGCCGACTGCTTGGCCGGCGTCTCCTCCGCTGTGTGTGCGCACCGCCGTGCGCCCATGCGTGCCGCGCATCACGACACGAGGCCATGTTGGACGGCAGGCGGGACCATGCTCTCTCTCGAAAGCGTCCGCCAGCGCTCGCCTCCCACCGAGTCCACCTCCACGGAATCCGCGTTTGATATGGTGCCACAGCCACCATCGGCTACATTCCGCTTTGCTCCTCACCTGCTTCTCGGATGCAACCACTCTCTATTCCACGACAAGCAGGCCCGAATCGGCGTGCTGCCCTGGGCGCGCGGCCTGCAGAGGAGCATTGGCCTGCTGAACTATTGCCGCACCGGCCAACATCGGGGCGGAGGATTGCCGCCGGCGCCGGCACCGGCGGTGACTCTCGATGTTAGTGAGGTCCTATTTGCAATAATGACGAGCGGCCCTCTTCTCGCGACGCGGGCGCGGCACCTTGAGCGTGTCCTCTATCAGCAGGGCGCCAGGCACGTCGAGCTATTTGCAGAAATAGAAGCAGAAAACACGACGCGGCTGCCAGAAGCGGCACGGCTGCAGGAGCTGCTGCAGTGCAATACCCGCCGAGGTGGCTGCCAGGGAGGCGTGTTGCATGTCGCGCAGAAGCACCTCGAGCTACTCTGGACGCTTGGCTCCCGAGCGCGGAGGCCGCATCTGCCACGGTGGGTGGTTGTGGCCGACGATGATACCTTCCTCTGGGTCAATCGCTGGGTCAAGGCGCTGGCAAACTTCAACGACACGCGGCCGCTCTTCGTTGGAGGCGGTGGGGCGCGGACACACATGTGTGGCCCGAGGCTGTGCGACAAAGCGCGCTACGTGAGCCAGTGGCGCTTCATTCCACAGGTGAACACGCACGGCGGCGGGATGGGGTATGCCCTCACCATGGCCGCGCTCCGTCGGATGCGCCACGCGCTTGCGCGCGGCGCATGTCTTGACACTAGCTTCGGCGACGCAGCCACGGGCTTCTGCGCCGCAGTGGCCGGAGTGCAGCAAGTGCTTCTGCCGGGAGCGATGATCAACAGCAACGCGGCTGATCTCATGCGGGCGGCGTCGCATCATCGCGTGAAAATGAACGTGTCGTACTATCGTGACCGACTCCTGCCGATCCGCGGGGAGCTGCTCTCCTACCACAAGCTGCTCCAGCAGAGCGGCAGCGAAACCATGCTCTGTTGGGCGACCCACGGAGAGTGCGACAAGCGATGTGCCGGACTCGCCACAGCGGCCGCTGCCTCTCGCAGGTCAACGTCGCTCGCGCTCGATCCCTTATTGAACACCACTCACCAGTAAGAGTAACGGCTAAAGAGATAGGATTGGCTTCACAATCATCGTACATCGATGACAGTGTGCCACGGCACGCACCGCAGGCCCGCGTAGTACACAGAGAGCCCTAACCGCGCATAACGTATATAGATACCACACCCGTGCACTGCTGCACAGTAAAAGGTAGGGTAAGAGCGGTAAGAGGTAAACGTCTCCACACACACAAAGTGGTGGGGCAAGGGGGGGCGACCCTCGCATCTCCACGCCCGGGACACGGGCAGGAGCCCCACGGCATTCAAAGGGCAAGCACCGGCCCGGTGGGGTGCCGTGGGTGAGCAACCTGGTCCTGCAGACCTGCACCCCAGTCCCCACTTCCTCTCCCTCTCCCAGACACAAGTCACAACTGTGGGGGGTTGCTGCAGTACTCAGGTAATTTCTCGGTGCATCGTGTGTAACGTAATACGTACAAACACAGGTATTTTACAAAGTAGAGTAACCGGGCGGCGGCAGAGCAGCTGAGCTCTCCCGGCCCCACCTCCCCGCACCCGCAGCGCGCGCACCCGCAGCGCACACACAAACGGGTCAGAACGTACACATGCCGTCAGATCAGATCACGAGTCAGAGAGGGCGGGGACTCACGAACCGCACGGGCGGGCGAGGTCGTACGAGCCACCACACGCATCATGCAAACGAGAGAGAGCAGGTGCAGATGTAGACAAGCCGTGCAACCGGCGACAAGCGGCCCCGTCTCAGGCGATCTGCGTCACGGCGTCGAGGGGGCGCCCCCCCACAAGCCGCTTCTTGAGCGGCGGCTCCTCGGGCTGCACGTCCAGAGCGGGGCCCCGCATCTCCACGAACACCTTCTCATCCGCGGCGGCGACCACTTCGCGCGGCATCGTCGCGCGCCACGGGAAGAAGGGGGCGAGGAAGGGGTGGCAGAGCGCCTCGGAAGGGGTGAGGCGGCGGCGAGGGTCGTACTGCAACATGCCTGCCCAGAGAGCGCGCCACAGGGTGAGAGGCCAGAGTGGTGGTGGTGGGCGAAGGGGATGAGTGGGTAGGTTTGGGAGGGGGATTGGGGGGGGGGGGGGGGGGCGATCGGGCTCGGGTGCGCGTGCCGGTGACGAGGTCAAGAAAGAGCTGCGCCTGGCTGCTGCGCGGCGCGCCAAGCCGCTCCGTCAGCCGCGCGCGGAGCTGCGTCGGCGGGAGGGGTGGCGGCTGGTGCGCCACGAGGTGGTGCAGCTCGGCGTGGTACTTCGCGCCGTCAAAGAGGCCCTGCGGTGGTCGGCCAAGCAGCTGCGCAACCTGCCGCCGCGAGGGCGAGGCGGGGGGTGGCGGGTGGCGCGCCCAGAGATGGGAGACCGAGGGCTGAGGGGCGGCGGCGAGGCAGCCTGCTCTACGCTAGAAGGGGCCGACGATGCGCGCTCCATCGGGGGGCGGGGGGGAGGAGGGTGGACGGACCTGCACCGCGAGCCCGCCGCGCGACGCGGCCTGGAGCAGGTAGCGGCCGGCGAACAGCTCGCAGAGAGTGACCCCGAGCGACCACATGTCGATCCCAAAGCCGAAGGGGGCGCCGAAGATGACCTCCTGCGCTCGAGCGGGCAGCGCCGTCGCGCGCGCACGCGGCTCGACCTGTGTCTCGGCTGCATCTCGGCTGCATCTCGGCTCTCTCTCGGCTCTCTCTCGGCTCTCCCGGCTGCATCTCGGCACTGTCTTGGCTCTCTCTCGGCTCTCTCTCGGCTCTCCCTCGGTCCGGAGCTCGGTATCTCGGCTATATCTCGCGCCGGAGCTCGGTATCTCGGCTATATCTCGCGCCGGAGCTCGGTATCTCGGCTCTCCCTCGCGCCGGAGCTCGGTATCTCGGCTATATCTCGCGCCGGAGCTCGGTATCTCGGCTCTCCCTCGCGCCGGAGCTCGGTATCTCGGCTCTATCTCGCGCCGGAGCTCGGTACCCCAGCGTCTGGACGTCGAACGTGTCGTAGTACGCCTTTGACTGTCTCGGCGAACGACCGGCTGAGAGAGGCGGCGGCGGCAGCCGCGGGCACCGCCGTCTCGCCTCTCGCTCGGCGGCCTTGCCCTCGACCTCTCGGGCGGTGCCTCGGGATCTCGGCGGTGCCTCGGCGGCATCTCGGCTGCATCTCGGCTGCATCTCGCGCCTCGGCCGGCGTCATTGCGTTTGAAAAGTCGATGAGCCGCACGCGGTTGCCGAGGTCGACCTCGCCGCCGCCGCCGCCGCCGCCGCCGCGGTCCGCCATGAGGTTGTCGGGCTTGAGGTCCGCGTGGATCACCTGTCCACGCCGCGCCGTGTGAAGAGCCCCTCTGTCACGGGGCTGCTTGCGCTGCGCCGGGCCGGAGGGACGTACGTCATGCTGTCGGAGGTATGCGAGGGCGCCGAGCAGCCGCGCCGCAAGAGGGCGGAGCACGTCCAGGCCCAGCCGCGGCGGCAACGAGGCGGCTTCGTCGACACGCTCGACCGACTCGAGCGAGCCTACGGACCCGCCGGCGGCGGCGGCAGAGGGGCGGGGCTGCGTGAGACGGCGCAGGGGTGGCAGGCGGCTGGAAACGCGGAGGCGCCGCGCCGGGGCCGCGGCCGGCGAGCGGCGGCGGCGGCGCCGCGCCCGGGGGTCCACAGAGGCGGCAGCGGGCCGCCTCGTGATCCAGGGTGGCGAGGAGGGGCTGCAGGATGCAAAAGTGGCACCCGACCTCGAAGCAGGACGTCGCCCCGGCAATCGGGACGTGGACGCCCTCCGCGTCCTGCCGCTTGCGGAGGAGGCGCATCCGCGTGTACTCCTGCGCGCCGAGGATCCAGTGCTTCGCGTTGAGCACCTTGATGGCGACGAGCGGCTGCCGCCGCCCATCGGCCGCCCGCTCGCACTCGCAGTAGGTGTCAGTGGCGCAGATGACCTGCGAGAGGTCCGTCTCGGAGATGGCGTGCATGAAGCGGTACCTCCGCGCGAGGAGCGGCATGTCGGGCGCGAGGCACAGCGTGCCGTCCGGGAAAGTCTCGTGCAGCCGCTTGACGGGCGGGGCGACGGCCGTGGCGGCCAGCTCGGGCCCGCGCGTCCGGTTCACGGCGGCGTACAGGGCGGTGAGGCCGCACGAGGCGCGCAGCGGCAGGTTGTGGTCGAGCGCCGCGGCCGGCCAGGTCGGACCCGCGTGGCTGCCGTGCTCGTGGAAGGCGCCCATAACGCGGGAAGTTCAACCGCAAAAGAATTTTCTCCCGGGCAAGAAAGCCAATTGTTGACTTGGGCCCTCGGGGAGGGCCCGGGCACAGGTTCGACAAAAAGGGCCCCTCCGCGAGGGCCTCTGCGCGCTCGCGCTCAGTGCTCCAGCTTTGCAGGAACCGCAAAAAGAATTGAAAGCAGGAACACGATTCGCGCGACAGGCGAGGCGACGGCTTCCTCAGCAAAAAGAATTTACCAATTTTTACAAGGGCATGAACTCTCTCTCACAGGCTCGACACAGGTGCGGACTGGCGCGTGCAGCGCAGAAGAATTCTCGATCCTCCAAGTGCTCCGCTCGCTCGCACAGCAAAAACAAATCTCTCGCACAGCACATTAAAATCCCTGTGTGGTGGTGGCGTGGCCGTCCTCCCATCCCTCCCTCGGATTGTCTGTTTTCTTTCTTTTTACACTGGCACGACAAGGGGGGGGGGGGAGAGAGAGAGAGAGAGAGAGAGAGAGAGAGAGAGAGAGAGAGAGAGAGAGAGAGAGAGAGAGAGAGAGAGAGAGAGAGAGAGAGAGAGAGAGAGAGAGAGAGAGAGAGAGCACAGGCGTGAAAATAAAACAATGAACTTTGGTGGACGGCCGTAAACGTAAACTCCGAGAAGTCGGTCGTCGGGCGGGGGCGACTGAAACGGTGTGTGTGTGCCTTCTCCTCCTTGTGCTGATCTCATCGATGCTCCTCCTCGCCGGCGCGCCCCACTTCCTCGCCTACTCCTATTACCAGAATGATGTCCCAAACGGCCATATCAACGGAAAGGACACGGGTCACTGCTGCGGCAGCACCTCGTTCCGCTGGGCGCTATACAACACGGACAGGCAGTGGACAAAGGAGCTCTGCGAGGCGGACGCGGATGGGGATGGGCAGAGTAACGGGCTCGAGCTCGGCGATCCGTGCTGCCGCTGGACCCGCGGAACCACTCCCCAGTTTGACTTCGACATCTCCCTCCCCGGCAGCGCCGGCTCAATGACAGGCAGGACGATGCCGAGCTGCAACCCTTCACCGCCCCCCTCCCCTGCCCCACTGCCGCCGCCGCCGCCGCCTCCGCCGCCACCGAATCCGCTCCCGCCGCCGCCGCCCTCGCCCCCCTCTCCACCGCCGCCCTCGCCATCCCCGGCGCCGCTGCCACCCTCCCCCTTCCCGCCTCCGCCCTCCCCACCCCCTCCTCCGCCGCCGCCCTCCCCGCCCGCGCCTTCGCCATCCCCACCCTCTCCCCTCCTGCCGCCACCGCTTCCCACTCTGCCAGGTCATGCGCCGCAGGCGCCGCCGCAGCCGCCCTCACCGCCGCCGCCCTCGCCGCGGCCGCCGCCGCCCTCGCCTCCGCCGCCCTCGCCGCTTCCGCCCTCGCCGCAGCCGCCGCTTCCGCCGCCGCCCTCGCCTCCGCCGCCGCCCCCCCCACCGCCGCCGCCCTCAACCACGACAGTCGAGGTGGCGGCACGCGTGCCCGCCTCGGAGTCGTACGACGGCGCCGCCGCTCGCGCGTCCCTCTCGCGCAGCCTCGCGGCGTCGCTCGACGTCGACGTCGGCGACGTCTCCCTCTCGGTGACGGCCGGACTACTCCTCTTCACCGTCGCCGCGCCGTCGCAGGCCAAGGCCGCCACGATTTCCGCCACGGCGGCCGGCGCGCTCGGCACCGCCGCCGCCGCCTCGCAAGTCCTCGGCGTCTCTGTCCTGGATGCGCCCGACGTGGACCGAGCACTTGGAGGACCGAGAAAGGTTTTATTTACTAGCTAGGGGCCGAACGCGTTTCCTCTTTGTTGCGGGGATCGAAGGGACCGGCACCTCCTATCGCGCCACTCGACGCCCCGCGGCCGCCTCTCGCCTACCGCGCTGCCCTCGCCGGCCGCCGCACCGCCCGCGCTCCAGCCTAACCAGCTTTCTGCTCCAGCCTAACCAGCTCTGTGCTCCACTGCTCCAGCCCAACCAGCCCTGTGCCCCAGCCTAACCAGCAGCCTAACCAGCTCTGTGCTCCAGCCCAACCAGCTCTGTGCCCCAGCCTAACAAGCTCTCCAGCCTAACCAGACAGTGCTCCACCAGCTCTGTGCTACAGCTAACGAGCTCTGCATCTCGCAACACACTCATGACAGGGACAGACCAGGCGCAGGAAAAGGGAGCGGGGCCCGAATCCAAGGGACCACCCCGTCGGGCGGAAGAGCTGAGAACTCAGGTCCAGTAGGAAGGCTGCTGGCTCCTGACTCATCCCCCAAATCCCCCACCCCTCTCTGGCCTGAAACCTTACCATTCCACCACCTCACACACACCCCTCTCCTATGGCTAAAGCAGTGACTTCAGGCGAGACGTCGACCATTCCTCGGGAATAGTTCTGTCAGTGGCTGCACTAGACGCCCATAGAGGCGCGCGGCGCGGGCGGATGACTAGGGGAGAAAAAGCGGAGATCCTAGCTCGCTGGGAGACGTGCGCAACCTAAAGTTGGGAATAGGGGAGAAGTGTCAGTGTGAGGGGAGGGCGTACGCCGGCGTTTTTGCCTTTGAAAACTGAACAGTTTTTTTCAGATGGTGTCGAGGGGTGTCGAGGGGTGTCGAGGGTGTCTCGAGTCGTCAGACGTGGAGACGCGAGGGTTGCCCCCCCTTGCCCCACCACCTCGTGTGTGTGGAGAAGTTTACCTTACCTTACCTTACCTTCTCGAGTTGGCATGTGGGGTGTCGAGGTGTCGAGTTGGTGTCGAGGTCTGGTGTCGAGGTGCGTCGAGGCCAGGGGCGCAGGGCTCAGAGACTGAGACGACGTGCCGAGGCGCGTCGGACGCGGAATCTTTGCCCTCTCCTTTTTACAATCGCATAACAAAACACCGCGGCGGATCACGCGCGCCGCTGTTGCTCTCGAGACCGCTACCCTGCTCGATGGCGCGTGAGGAGGTACGCCGCCTCCTCGAAGCGTGTGCACCCTCGCTCCCTCCAGTGCGGCTCCGCGCCCATCCGGTCCTCGCGCTGCAGCGGCCGCACCGCAAAGGCGGGCGAGAAGAGCTCGCGCACGTCCGCCTCTCGCACTTCGTACGGAGGGCCGGCGAAGCCGTCGTGCTCCACCTACAGAGGCGGCGAGAGGCGGGGTGCATTGCCGCGACAGTGCCATCCATCCCCTCCCGCGCCGGCCGCGCCGTCACCAGCAGCACCCGCCCCTCTGGCGCCATGAGGCCGGCGAGGGTCGCCACGTACGCCTCCCGGTCTTCGGGCAGCACCGCCACGAGAGCGCCGCGGTCGAAGGCCGCGTCGAATCTCGGCAGGCCCAGCGCGTCCGCGGCGCTCGGGGAGAGGTGTAGAAAGTCGCCCTCCACAGCCCTCAGCACCGCCGGCGCGTCCGACCCCGCCTCGCCCGGTGCTACGGCCGTCCGCAGCCTCAGCGACCCAGACACACTTGGCGGCGCCTGTTCAACCTCGTCCCCAAACGTCTCGAGCAGAGCGTCGACCGCCGCCCCAACGCCCTCGACGCCGACCACGCGATAGCCCCGCAGCGCCAGCGCAGCCAGGTCGACGCTCGCGCCGCACAGCGGGAAGAGGACGTTCGAGCGAGTCGCCTTTGGCGAGGGCGAGTCGTGGCGCGGCTGCGGCCCGAAGAGGTCCGCGCGGTACCGCACGAGGAGCGGGTGCTCCTGCTGCAGGTGCCAGCGGGTCTGCTTGCTCGCCCACTTCGCGTGCCACCGTTCGAGGCGGTCAGGGCCAGGCGCCGCGCTGAGAGTGTACGCGCCGTAGCCGATCGCCGCGGCGGCTGCGGCGGCACAGGAGGCCGCGCGAAGGCGCGGCAGCGACATTGCGGTCCGCGATCCGTTCCAAGCTCGCGACGTCGGTCTCAGAGGGAGGAGGAGGCTGCGCTGCACAAGCACGGGCGGGAGGGGCTTCTCCTGTGCTGCGCGGGGCCGTTTTTGCTTTTCTTCTACCAGGCACCAGTTGGAACCTGTGTCGAGCCTGTCTGCAGTGAGAGAGAGTTCTTTTGTTTCTACAAGGGTACTCCGTTCCGTCCTACCAGAGAAGGGGTTTTCTCGGGTCCGAGAGCAGCCCTGAGGGTTTTTTTTGAGCTTAGCCTTCGATGCTATGAAACAAACGCAAGGCGGACATTGCAAACCGGTTTTTTTAGCTAAACAAAAAAACAAAAAAGTGAGGAAGGACAGGGTCCCCACTTGCACGATCAGCATCTTGGAAGGACGCGATCAGGGACACAAGGCTCAAGCGTCAAGGGCACGGGAGCAGCCGCGGGGTGGGAGCGCATCACGAGGGGGCCGCTGGTGGCGCCGCCACAAAATCTATTTGTTCGACTGTAAGTCCTCGCCGCACCGCGGCAAAACATCAAAGGTCAACGGCGAGCTCACGAGCGGGCGTTCGACCTCAAGCCCCCGCGTTGCCCTCTTTTGCCTCCAGTTGGCACTCCTCAAGCCCGGTCAGCGCGACGGCCCACAGCAGCGGGTCAGCGGGCAGCGCAACCACCGACGCGGTCCCGCCGTCGCCCGCCTCGCGAATCGCGTCCTGCGCGGCGCAGAGCTCGTCGACGCTCGCCTGCGTTGGGTCGTCAACGGCGCGTCAAGGGGACGTGTCGAGCGGCCGCAGCAGCCTGGCAGTCGCCCACCGGTGCGCGCAGCGTAGCCTCGAGTGGTCTGCGAGGGCCGCTCACGCCGGTGCAGTTCAAGAGAACTCCGTCGGGCGCCTCAACAAACACGGGCAGCTCGAGGCCGATAGTGTCGGCGGGATCGAAGCGCGGCTCCGCAAAGAGGAGCCCCTGCACGCCCGCGCCCTGGAACGAGGGATGCCGCGGGTGGGATGGGGCGGCGTGAGAACCAGAGGCGCTGTGCGCTGCTACCTGTGGCAGCGCCTTGCCCGCCTCGTCGATGACGCGTCGGACCGAGTAGAAGAGCTTGACGACGACCATCTGTGCGAAAGTAACCTCCGACGTGCGCAGATCCAGCCAGAGCTCCCACGTCCGTGCTGGTGCCCGAGGCACTCCCATCGCCTTGGCACACAGACAGAGGGAGTCGGTTGGGCTCGTGCTATCTGCGATTCTCTCTCTCCGCTATGTGCCACCTTCCCCATGGGATCGACCGTCTCCGGCCGCCACGAGCTGGAACTCATAGCGACAGCGGCGCGACCTCGCCGTCCGGGTTCGTGTATAGTAGTTAGCGCGAAGCTGAGGGCGACGACTGAGGCGATCATTGTGTGCAGAGGGCGCCTCCGCAGCTAGGGGAACCCAAAGCGCAGACCAACCCTCGGACAACCGTGTTTACTTTACGGCCCTTTCCCTGCGAACGCGCACCCCCCCTAGCTAGGGGTCAGGGCTCTCTAGCCCGTAGCCCGATCCCGATCATCCGGCCCGCTGGGTGCGCTTCTCAGCTCCCCGGCCCTGGAGTGAGGTTAATGACTGCACTCCAAGTGTGCTCCGAGGGCCGGGCGGAGCATCCAGAGATGGTCCCGCGGGGCGGACTTCCGTACGAGGGCCCTCCTGAGCGCAAGAGGCACGAGGGCGTGGTGCGTCCTGTTCCAGACGGACGTGCCCCCCCCAGCGACCAACCTGCGGCTCCTGATCACTTACGTTGGGGAGATAGTGGACCACACGATCACCGTACCGCCACACTGGGCGGGGATCGAGGAGGTGGTGTGCTATGTGGAGGCGCGGCTGGGAATCGACACCGAGCCGACGACGAGAGGCGGTTTTCGGGCCGGTGGAGGTGCGCTGTATGACTTCCACTGCGCCACCGACCAACCGAGGGTGGCGAGGGCGCTGCAGACGCGTCATGAGGACGGCCGAGACGCGAGGGGAGCGTCTTTCCGGGCGGCCGCGCGAGCGTACCTAGGAGCGGACCCGGACTCACGCCACGCGATCCCGGTCCCGCCGATGCAGTGGTTGGGGCGCACCGACGGAGAGGCGGAGCTACGACAGACCCCCCCGGCGGGAGACGGCTTGTCGGAGGCCATCCGTAACCTGCTGCGGACGAAACCGGGTGCGATAGCGGTGGGGAACGCGGGCGGGGGGGAGTGTGGGCCGCTCTCCCTTGGCTATAACGGGACCCGGGACAGGCCCGGCCGGTCCCAGACGGGAGAGCGAAGGGCTGACCTAATCCGCTTTGCCCAGGAGAACCCGGGGCTCCTATTGTTAGAATTTCCGGCGAAAACGATTATCTCCCTCAGCCAAGCGGTCGCAAGGAGCTTCCGTGGATACGCCCACCAATACGGGGCCGAGCCAGGTGTGGGGGGGACATGTACATGTCGTGCCCGCTGACACCCCGCCACCCTCCCCCACCATGCCTGGGCCGCCCCCCCCCCGGGGGGGGGGGGTTCTCGTCTCCCCTCGAGGAGGGGGGGGGGCAGGGCCCGGATTCGCCGACGGCCCCGCTTCCCCCTCCTGCCGCTCCGCACCAGGTCCTACCGCTAGCTCTCAACCACAGGAGGAGACAGGGAACAGGCCGGAGACAGAGCCCAAGGGCATCTGCCCCCGCCACGCAGAGGAGCGCTGACCAGGTTGTTTTAGTTCTTTTTTCTGTGGTAGTTCGTGCCAGTCTGCTGTGAGGCGCTGCAAGAATTCTTTTTTCTGACTCTCCAGTCACGAGAATCGCGGGCGCATTTTGCTGTCTGAAGTACGCGGGCGTGGCTCCCGCTCTCGACTACCATTTGCTCATGAAAGAGGCACCTGCGGCCCGAGCGCGCTCTCACTTCCTCCTTCGCCGGCTCACCCCAACGCGCGTGTCGCAGGAGGGCAGCGGGCCGCATGAGATGCTCGAGATAGGTGCGCGCGCGGCGTGCCTGCGGTCGGGCCAGCCGCACGCCTGCGACATCATAGAGCGCCGCTCCACGGCCGGTGCGGGCGAGGGTGGCGAGGGCAGCGCGGCCGAGTACTATGTACACTACGTCGGCCTCAACCGACGGCTCGACGAGTGGGTGGCGGCGGACCGGATCGTCCACGACACCAGCGGCGCGGGCGTGCGCGACGGCGCCGAGCTCGGGGGGCGCCGCGCCACGCGAAAGATGAAGCGGCGGATCGACGACATGAATGCGCTGCAGGCGCGCGGGAGCCGCCCTCTGATGCACAATAGCGCACGCCCTCTCCGCGCCCTGTCAGGATCCTCGTCTCCTCACACGCGACGAGCTCTCACCCGAAGCGCCCGCCTCCAGGCCGGCGCGTCGCACGACGAGGCGCTCGAGAAGGAGCACGAGGCGCGCCCGCCGTGCGTTGACGCGGCGGCCACTCGGAGTCTCGGCTGACGCGGAGTGGTTCGGCCGCTCGTAGGAGTCGACAAAGGTCAAGAACATCCAGACGGTCGAGATCGGCCGCTTCGAGGCGCCGCCCCCGCCCTCGCCCCGCCGCGCTAGGCCCTCGCCCCGCCGCGCTCCGCCTTGCCCGCGTCGGCCGCGCCCGACACAAAGGAGACGACCGAAGCGTTCCGCCGCTTCGCCGCCACGCCTCCGCCTGCTCACTCCGCACCCGCGCCCCGCGGCACTCGCCCAGGTGGACACGTGGTACTTTTCGCCCTTCCCCGACGAGTACGCGCAGCAGCGCAAGCTCTACATCTGCGAGTTCACGCTCAAGTACATGAAGCGGCGCAGCACCTACCTTGCGCACTGCGAGCGCGAGCAGTCACGCCAGCCGCCCGGCCAGCTCATTTACCGCTGCGACGCGCCGCCGCTGCGGCGCGAGTGCCTCGCGGCGGGCATGGAGCAGCCGAAGCAGCTGTCCGTCTTCGAGATCAACGGCTCCGACTCGAAGGTGTACTGCCAGTGCCTCTGCCTGCTCGCAAAGCTCTTCCTCGACCACAAGACCCTCTACTACGACGTGGACCCCTTCCTCTTTTACGTGCTCTGCGAGGTTGGCGCCGACGGCGGCCACCGGATCGCGGGCTACTTCTCCAAGGAGAAGACGTCGAGCGAGCACAACAACATCGCGTGCATCCTCGTCCTCCCGCAGCACCAGCGCAAGGGCTACTCCAAGCTCCTCATCGACTGCGCCTACCAGATCTCGATCCGCGAGGCCAAAGTCGGCTCGCCCGAGAAGCCGCTCTCGGACCTCGGGCTGCTCTCCTTCCGCTCCTACTGGACGCAGATCCTGCTGCAGACGCTGAGCGACCACCGCGGCAACCTCTCCGTCAAGGAGATCTCGATGATGACCTCCATCACCACGGACGACATCATCTCGACCCTCCAGTCGCTCAACCTGATCAAGTACTGGAAGGGGCAGCACGTCATCTCCGTCTCGCCAAAGATTGTCGACGAGCACCTCAAGCTCCACCCGCCCGGCACCTCTTTGCGCTGCGACCCGTCCAAGCTCACCTGGCAGCCGCCCGCCGAAGACGCCCTCGACAAGTGAGGCTGAAGTGAGGTGTGCTCGGGGTGCGCGGCTCCGCTCTGGGGCAGCGCGCATGCAGTGTTCACTTTGTCCATGACCGGGGGGCGGCGGCTTGCGCGCCCACGCTTGCGCGCTACCGGTGTACCACGCGGCGTGTCGGAGGGCACTTGTATTCATAGGCTAGCGTTTGGGGGCTAGAGTGGGGTGACGCAGGGCGTCGACATACGTAACCGTTACGTTGAACGTACGCGATACGGGGAGGTGGGTGTCCTCGTACTGGGTTGTGGGGGCTTGCGCAAGAGGAGCGGTAGCGCCTGAGCTCCCGGGCGGCTGCGCCGGCCGCGCGGGCCGTGGGCGCAGCGTGGGGCCGGGAGCGGCCTGCTCCGTGCTCATGTGTCCAGCGTCTCTAGACGATTACAAAGGATCGGACGTCACGCACATTTTGACAGGGACGTCGGAAATCGGACACATCCACTGGGACGAGTCAATTCATTCACTAGAATGACTAGAAAGGGCACCCATGGGGGGTGATCGCATCCCCCCCAATGGCGGCGGGCGCCGCAGAGCCGGCATTGTGGAGTCAATCCCCCCCATTGCGCGCGCGCGCATTGGTGGCGAAGTCGACGCTGCGCCTCAGCTTGTCGCGCGCGACCCACTTGGTGAGGAAGTCGGCGGGCATGAGGTCGTCTGCGATCTTGACGACGCGGCACTCGCCCTCGGCCATGCGGCGCTGGAGCGTGTGGTACCGGCGGAGGAAGTGGCGCGAGCGCGACGCGGACATGGCATTGTTGGCGACGAGGACGTTGGCCTTGTTGTCCGAGAGGATGACCGTGGGCCCGGCGGGTGGCGCTCCGAGGGCAAGGAGGACGACGCGCGCGTAAGAGACGTGCTCCCCGGCCTTGGCGGTGGCGATAGCCTCGCACTCGTGCGACGAGTCGACGATCAGGCCAACCTTCTTCGTGCAGTGGTAGACGGCGGCGCCAAAGCACGTGAGGACGATGCCGTAGAGGTCGAGGTCCCCGTTCCACGTGGCGTCGGCGGCGGCAGCGAGATCGGCAGGCGCGTGCGAGTCGAGCCCCGCGATGTGGGCCTGCATGTGCCCCTGAAGCTCGGCGACAGCGCGAGGCCCGCCGTACGTGATCCCGTCGTCCCTATGCTCGTAGGCCGTGTTGAGGGCGGCGCGCGCGACGTCGTAGGCGGCCGGCGGCGGCGCAGACATCACGCACGAGAGGCGGTGGAGGACCAGACAGAGCTTCGGCTGGACACGCTCGACGAACTTGAGGTGGCCGATGATGCTCTGCGTCCGCACCTGCTGCGGCGTCAGCTTGCCGTCGCGATCGGCGAGCTTGAGCGAGTCGGCGGCGACGGCGAGGCGCCTGCCGCTGAGGAGAGTCGGGCGCTCGCCACGGAGGAGCTCGGGCATGTGCTCGCGAGCGGCCTCGATGATCTTCTGCGGCATGGACAGCGTGAGAGTGCGCCGCTCGCGGTCACGCTCGAGCTTGAGACCGGCAAAGGAGGTGGGGCTGTAATCGACCTTGACCTCGCCGTCGAACGCGGCCTTGAGCGCGGCGATGGTGGCGTCGGTGGCGGCGGTGCCGTTGACCTCGGAGATCATGAAGTCGTCAACGATGGTGATCATGCGAGCCTCGCCGTGCTCACCGTGGTAGGAGAACATGGCGGGGACGCCCGGGCACGGCATCCAACCGAGGCTCTTGATGGTCTCGTTGAAGGTGCATTCCCACTCGTAGCCGGCGCTTTCCTCACCCCAGAGCGGCGTCGAGAGCTCGATGCAGAGCTGTGTGCCGTCCTCGTCGGTCATGGGCAGCGTGGACGGGATGCTCATGTAGCCGACGGGGCCCTGGCGCTTGGCCTTGATGTAGGCGTTACCGACGTCTCCCTTGGTCAGATTGGCGTCGATGGCGGCGGCGTGGCCGAGGAACAGCTTGGTGGTCATGTCGTCGACGACGGTCGAGGTGGCGGGGACTTGGCTGGCGGGTAAGCCGGCGCGCTCGCGCTGGACCTTGGCGAAACCTCCGTCGGCGCTGTGCCGAGACTTGTAGGGGTCGTGCTTGTCAAGGCGTCCGGTCGCCTGGTCCACCTTGCGCGCAGTGACGCAGCGCTGGACTGGCACGCCCTTGGCGGCGGGGACGGTGACGGGCACGAGGCAGTTGCCGGGCCCACGAAGGATGCAGTCGAGCCCCTTCTCATCGGCAGCCAACCAGTGCTCGCGCTCCGGCGAGTTGAGCAACTCCTTCTTGTTGGCGGGGACGCGATAGACGCACTTGCCGATGGGCGTGGAGACATCGACGAGGCGCTGCGTCGCTTTGAGGCACTCGGCGGTGACGACGGCGCCGGCGGCGTTGCGGAGGCTCGCGCGCCGCGCGTCGAGAAGCTCGGCAGACGCGCACTCGAAGGGGGTGGCGTCCTCGCCGAGGACGGCGAAAAGCGTGGCGTTGTAGACGTCGACGTGCGCCTCGCTGGGCGTGCGCTCGAGCGCCTCCTCGACGGCGGCAGCGGCGAGGGCGGTGGCGTGGCGGCGGCGTGCCTGGGCCCGGGTCGTGGGGCCGCTGTCCGCCACGGCGCGGGCGGCTGCCTCGGCCTCAACCATCTCGCGGCCAATTCCACCCTCGTGGAAGAGATGCTCCGTGACCGGGTCCACGGGGGGGGCGGGCGTAGGAGGCGGTAGCCGGCGCCACTTGCGCTTGGTGTTCGCAAAGTTATGCGCGTACGGCTTGTCGGGCTGGGAGTCGTAGGTGACGAGCCACAGCCGCTCGCCCCTTTGCTCGACCACCTCGGTGACGGTGCCGACGTACTCGCTCGAGGTCACCGCAGGGGCGGGGTCTCGCCACACAACCGAGACGCGCGAGCCTTTCGGGAGGTCGAGCGGCGGCGCCGCGGCGCGGGGCGACGGCCTCACGCGCGGCGGCGTGGTGAGCTGCTCGCCTGTAGGGGGCGTCTGCGTGGCGGCCTCGACGACTGCGGCGCCCGTCGGGATGCCGCGGCGCAGCAGCTGCAGCTCGTCGAGCTGAGTGACGTGTCGCACACGAGCGGTGCCGCCGTTGTCTTTCCGCACGAGGTAGACGGAGCCGTTGGAGCGCGGATCGACGCCCATGAAGTCGCCCTCGGTGGCCCGTGGCCTGTCGCGGCTGCCCTTTGGTCCGCGCGTCTCCTTCTCCTCGTTGTACATGACACGGGTGCCAAACAGGAACAGCGGCCGGTCCTCATCGACGGTCGGGACCTTGCCGTAGTAGCGCTGGTAGCGCGACTCCTTCTGGCCGCTGCACGGCTTGAAGTTGACGAGGTGCTGTGCGTAAACGCGCGCAGGGAGCAGAAACGACGTACCTTTGTGCGCGCGCTGCAGCATGGCCTCGGCGGTGCGCGTGACGATGTCGTTGTTGACCTCGGCGGTGCCAACGGGCTCGTGATGCTGGCGCGGCGCGACTCTCACGGTGACCCCAAACTCGGACCCGCACCAGTCCTTCAGGGCGACGAGATCGGTGCCGGAGTCGAAGACGAACACTCTCGGGTCGTGGCCCGCGGCCTGGGCATCGTTGTAGACGTGCCGCATGAACGGCTTCCAGTCGTCGGCCGTGTGCTTCGTGCTGGTGTCCGTGTAGCCGAAGGACGTGTACTGGCAGACGCCGTGGAACTGGTAGACGTGGCCATTCAGGGGCGATGGGGCCTCGTGCCTGCCAAAACCGTCGAAGACGAAGGTGTGTCCAGCCCGTGGCGCCCGACCTGTCGGCGGCATGGCGTGGACGGCGCGCTTCCTCGAGCGAGCGAGGGCGAGGAAACGGTCCTTGTCGATGACCTCGGCGGCTGTACGGTTGACCTTGTCGACGCCGACACCGTGGGCGGCACGAGAGATTGAGACGATGCCGGCGGCATCGGTCACAAAGCGGGCGGCCATGAGCGCAGCTCTGTCGTCGACACGTAGCTTCGCAGCGGCGGCCTCGGCCCCGGCGACGGCAACACTGTACGAGACGGAGGGGACGGGGACGACTTCGAGGGTCACGAAGTAGAGGCCGTTGCGACTGTAGATGGGGTCAGTACGCCCATCCTTCCAGATGATGAGCCTGCGCACCTTAGACACGTCGGCGCCGTAGTTCTCCTCGAGGTAGCTCTCGGCGATGATGGACCGCGTGACGTTGTCAGAGAAGACAGCCTCGCGGATGTCCAGGGCGCGGCCGGACCCGGTGACGCCCCGCATGCTGATGACCTGCGACGTGGTGACGTCGGCAGCGGGTCCGATGCCGGTGATGGAGCAGGCGCGCTGCTGGATGTCGTAGACGCCGGTCACGTCGCCGAGGCGCACGGCTCCCCGCTCGGCGTTGGGGGCATGCTTGACGACGCACGTGTTGGAGCCCCCATCGAGCTGGAACTCGAGACGTATCGTCTGGCGCCCGCCTCGAGGGAGGGGCGGCCGCTCGCGCTGGAGACTGTGCGCAGCGCCGGTCTCGCCAGCGCTGACGGCGGCAGCACAGACACCGCTGGCGGCAGCCCCACTGGCAGGGTCGGCGCGGGCGGCGACGGGAGAGGCGACGGCGGCGACAGCGAGCGCAAGGCAGCCGAGGAGGCCGGCGACACGGCCGAAACCACAGCACGCGCGCTGGGCGGCCTGCCCGACCTCGGTAGCCGCGTCGCAGGCGGTGGCGGTGGCAGCGTGAAGGGCGCTGGCGCTGGTGCTGTACACGGCGGCGACAGCTGCAGCGCCAGTGCGGCGCGCCTCGGCTGCGGGGCCGCTGATGGCGCTGACGTCGACACCGAAACGGCCGCCCCCGAGCGCGAGAAGCGCAATGACCGTCGCGACGATAGCGACTGCGGTGGCAGCAGGCCAGGCGAGGACGCATGCAAGGCCGAGGTTGCTCTGAACGTCTCCGAGGTCGAGGCGGTAGACTGGTGCGGGCCCGACCTGCATGTCGCCGTCGGTGACGTCGCGCTCGACGTTCGGCGGTGGCACCGAGGAGCCGAGCCAACCACCTTCGCGCTGCGCGTCCAGGGTGGCACTCGCGCCGAGAGGCACGGTCTCTGAGACCCCCCCCTTGGCGACCTCAGCGGCGGCGACCTCGCGGCGCCCGACGTAGCCGTCGCCGAAGACGGCGCCGTCGTCGACGGCGGCGATGGGGTCCTCGTCGGAGCCACGGTCGTCGCGCGGCTGGTGGCGCTCGGCGGCGTTGGCCTCGCGCTTGTCGCCTCCGTGGTACTCGCGGTGCGCCTTCTCGAGCAGCTTGCGGCCGTACGAGAACAAGGGCTTGCCGAGGCCATTCTTGACGGTGCGGGGAAACTGCTTGCT